CACACACACACACACACACACACACACGGCAGTTGTTGTGTTACTTTGTTGTCTCCATTTGTTTGTTCGTCTGTAAATTAGCAGGATTACACAGAAACTACTGGACGGACGTGGACGTGGAATGAGTTCAAGTTCGGTGTGGATCCAGATCAGGGGGCCTGATCCAGGATTTTAGTTTTCACTTTCTTTAACTTACAGGGATAGAGAGGGTTTAACTTGGTGCAGATCCTGATAAAGATCCAGAGCTGGTGAATTTAAACGCGGCTTCATAAGAGGAATGTTGGGCCTTCTAGTTCAATTTATAATTTGAAACCACAAGGTGGCACCATTGTTCAAACTGTGGCCTGTTGATGCTCTCGTCTTTTAAATGTAAGGATTTTATATTAGTGTTAAATTTGTCCGTATGATGTTAATATACATATAAACCATATGTATGTTTATATTCATGTTTTATAGAATCTTTTGACGTAGGTACCATTTTATTTTTTATTTTCTATATCTCATATTTCAATATTTATTCATCCACGTGACTGTTTATTTACCTTGAGGTGGATATTTTCTGTGTTGAGCACATATTTGCAATGTTTGGACGTACACACACACACACACACACACACACACACACGTGTAAATAAAGTTAGTTGTGTGTTTGTTTGTGTTTCACACACTTCCTGGAATTATGGGAAAAACAAGTTCCTTTGTTTTGAAATCATTATTCAGGGAAACTTGTAATGAGTATTTTGAACATCTGGATCCTGTGAATAAGAAACAACTGGACTGTGTGAAACCTTCATGTGTTTCTCTCTCTTCTCTGCCACTTGCTCCAGTCAACACGATCCACCAGCAGATGGCATTTAGATATGAGCTGCTGCCACAATCGCCCCGCATCAACCAGGACCTCTGGCTTCCATCAATAACCGGGCGGCGAGGAGAATCACGCAGATAAGAGAAACGCGAGCGTGACGCAGGCGGAGGAAGCTGTGGTGTCGCCACCTGCAGCCTCAGCCAGCGACCTGTTTATCAGACGCATCTTCTAATTAAACGGAGGCTGTGTTTGATGTCACAGTCGCTGTGGACGCTGGAAACAGAAAAATCAGGCAGGTAGTCAGAGTCCTTCATTTGCATCGTGTGTGTGTGTGTGTTTATCAGATGTTTTCCTCACAGTGAAGAGGAGGGGGAGGAGGGGGAGGAGGAGGAGGAGGAGATAGTTGTCCAGGTAACCAGAGGCCATTGAAGGTTATGAATGTTCCATTACAGCCTGGACCGCTCTGGGTGATCGGCCTAAATGATCCGTCTCACTTTACAACACAGACACAGAGTCAGGGGGGGGCAGGGGGGCTGCACACTTTACCATCTTATTCTCCCACAATGCAACAGTCAGAATCCGCTTCCTGTCTCGGCTGCTTCCGTTGAAGTGAAGTGTGAAATATTCCAGGTCCATCTTTATCTCGCATCCTTTAAATCAGACGTGTGCACGGCCACAGACATCACCGGGACAATGATCTTTAAACGTGCGTCACCTGTGTTTACATTAGCTGCAACATACGTGTGGATGTGTGCCAAAGGTGTGTGTACTTGTGCGCAAGGACACTTTGACATGTGGAAGGTGGGCAGGAGGGCCGGGATCGAACCAGCAACCTTCTGGTAAGGGGCGTTTGGCCTTTAGTTCTGCAGGTTAGAGGTAAAATGTGAGTGATGGGGAAAGTTTTATTTAATGAATGGAAGTCAAGCTCTGTGTGTGTGTGTGTGTGTGTGTGTTTGTGCACATTTCCGTGACACAGAAGCAGGGATGTAAACAATACGTGCACACAGTGAGAACACATTGAGTTGTGTGTAATCACTGAGCCGGGGCCATGTGGCGTCTTATCAGGCTCGTCTGCTCCAGTGAAACACAAAGGGAGGCCACAGCAGCTGGCACAGGACGGTCCACAATCCTCTCTGTTAAATGACCGACGAGAGCGAACACGACTTCAACCGTCGGGTTGATTATTAACGCCACACACCGAGACATGTCCCTGTGCTCCCACACCCGTTAAACACACTGCACCGCCAGCTCCACACGCACCACAGTTCCGTCCTCATCACGGCTCTGAGAGACGGTGATAGGGAACTTCCTCTGCTTCCTGACCCGAGGAAATAACACGCCTCTTGGTATTTCACCGACGCCATCGGCAGCCGAGTCAGGAGCGGGCACAAACATGTCCGGCTTCTGGAAACCTCCGCTGAACCACATCAGCGGCCGACACATCATTTTGCAGTCATTACTCCGCTGCATGTCCTCCATCAGAGACACGCTGGCGGAGGTGGGACAGTGTGTGTTTTGGTGTGTGCTCCTCTGCTGCTGCTGCTGCTGATTCACCTCAGCCACAGTTTGTGTATCGCACAGTCACTCACACGTTGTTGGTTCAAATGAATCATCTGTTTGAACAGCAGGAACAATATCAACAGGATTTATAGTGGGGGATGTGATGTGTGGGTGTGGCTGTGTGTTTGTTTCTGTGATGTGCCGGCGACCTGTCCAGGATGAACCCCGCCTCTCGCCCCTAAAAGTCCGCAGGGATTGGCTGGAGCCTCCTCACAGGATGGAGGAGATGGATGGATGTAGAATATGTGCAGGAGGTGAAGATGCATCTGTTAGTAAAATGTAAAAGTCCTGAACATCTGTCATTCACAACGATTCTCAAAATGAAAGACAGCAGACGCTGAGACATCCGGACGTTTTAACGATAACTTGGATCCAACTCCGAGAGATCCTTGATTTAAGAAGCCGTCTTTTAGACGCTCAAGCCGACGAAACCCTGTAACGTTTGGCAGCGACGATTAAAAGTCTAACTACTAACTGTCTTTACTTATATCGTTGTCTTTTAACATTTTCTTTTCCTGTCTTCATTCAAGAATGTGGTCGAAAAGTTTGAGAACAGGATCAGCACTGGACGTAAACTCTTCCCTGGACCAAGCGTGAAGGAGATGACCTCACATCAACAATTTAAAGTCTTTCATCCACTCACCCAGATCTGTAACTTGATCCTCTTGTCGTTGCGGAAGACGGTCTTGACCTTGAAGTCGATGCCCACGGTGCTGACGAAGGCGGACGTGAAGGAGTCGTCGGCGTAGCGGAACAGGAAGGAGGTTTTTCCCACGCTGCTGTTGCCGATGATCAGCAGCTTGAACATGTAGTCAAAGTTCTGGTCGGCCGCGTCCTTCTGAGCGGGCGGCAGCTGTGTCCGCGAGTCGTTTGATGCCATCTGGAGAGAGAGAAGAAATAAAATCAAGATCTAAATATCATTCAAACCTGCATTTGTTCTGTTTTGGTCTCTTCTAAAGGAAAGTCATGGCCCTTCTAAAGTAAACAACAAATCAGAGTCAAGTTTTCTGTGGATTTATAGAAATATTGATTATCAGATAATAATAATACAAAAGTGTGGAACTGATTTATCTGCTATTGAATCAAAGAAAGGTCAGAAATACATCTGTTATCAGTGGAATCCTGTCCCAACACTTTTAACAGCTTTTTAATTAAAGTGAAAAAGTTAAGAGCAGCTAACGACGCTATCAAATTAAAGGAGGCTCCTCCATCTGCTTCAGTCACGTCAGTGGGATCTCTCCTGAGGGCAGATATGACATCACCGGCATTAAACCTTTCAGTGTCACTCATCCACGCAGAGGGAGGAGCGAGCTCACGTAGTCCATACGTACGTACACACACACACACACACACACACACAGTCTAGATCCAGTGTCCTCGGGAGTGTCCATGGAGAGTCTCATCTCCATGGAGACGAGACTGGGACTCAGCTGCCAGAAAGAACCATTAGTGGCCAGAGCGGTCAGTTCATCCAGCTTTTAACTGACCAGATGGAGGACAGAGATATCAAGAGGAGAGGAGGAGAGGAAAGAGGAGGAGAGAGGAGAGGAGGAGAGAGGAGAGGAGGAGAGAGGAGAGGGAGGAAAAACTTCTGAAAGTGTGCAGTGAACCTCCGATAATCTCCTGACATTCTCCAGAGGGGCTGTGTGTGACCGAGTCAGGGGCTCACATCACCTCCTCTGCACCACCCTTCACCTAAACCCTCCGGAGGAGCTCCGCGGAGAGTCTGGAGCCCAGACGTTCTCTGGAGTTCACGTCTGGAAGAGTCTGTGACGGCAGTAATTTAACATTTATCCCTCAGCCCTCTACAGGACGAAGCAGGTTCTCTACCTATCGGAGGATGTTGCAAACGAAACAGCTTCTTTAAGACACGTCTCTCTTTTAAGAACTTCACGTCACAGTTCAGTCTGAAGCTCGGAGGTGCACAGACTAGAACCACGATCCATTCTCACTGAAAACTGTTCTCATGGCGTTACACAACTTCTCTAATCTCTCAAGACATGGCCAGTGAAATCACATGACGCCCGTGTCGGGTCTCCCTGGTACGTTTCTGTGTATTTAAAGCTCCACACCGCACGCATGCCCCCCCCCCCCCAGTAAAATGATATTATTCTCTAAACTCGGATTCTCTCATCAGCCCTTAATCCTGAGGTAAACCCCGTCACATGTTGGTCATGTTTACTGTGCAGCTCGGGACATTTCTTGAATAGTCATCTTCCCTTTTTTATGAACGTGTGAAGGTTTACATCGTGTTCCTCAACTCAAGTTGCACTAATGTCAAGTTCCCTCTCGAGTATGAACTAAAAAAAAAAAGAGAGACGAAACGTAAAGCAACACAACGAGCTCTTCACTTCACAAGCTGAAGGACCACGAGGTCCCACATCAGCAGCCTGAGTCAGGACATCCTCCATGTGTAGATGAGCAGCAGCTGAGAGTGGCAGCTGGATTATTATCTCCAGTAAAGCAAACAGGGGCCATTGAGGTGAGCACGGGTCTGACGATGGTCCTCCAGCTGGCTCTGTTTACTGAAGCCAGGATCCTGCCGGCGGCCTGACCCACGGCAGATAACCACTGTTGACCCACTGGCAGCTGCCACATCTGTTCTCTCATTAGGAGACACAAACACTGACAACCAAAGGTGGCTCGGACACAATCAGCGGAAATCTGATTGGCCCCCTGACGTCCCCCTGTCCCGTCAGCAGTCCTCTTTCTCACTTGTTCCTCTTTCACACCAAAATGAGTGGATAAATGTGGGTTTTTGAAAATGCAGCTAAAGCCACAGGAACTAAAGCAGCTCTCCCGTTCCACTGCCTCGCCGAATTAGCACGTTCACCTGGATGTCACGTTTCCATCGCTGCTGATTAAAACCCGTCTAAAGCGTGAAGAGAGCGAAAACTTGTTTCCACTCAGTGCAGACAAAAGTCAGATGTTGGTGGGTTTAAAGCAGAAGAGTTTTTAGTTTGTATTTGACGTCACACTCTCACCATGAGTCATATTTCCATCAGCAAATTCAAACCTGTGTTTACTGCAGTCACACCTTTATGCCCCCCCCCCCACACACACACACACAGTTCAGAAAAACCCCTAGATCCGCCCCTGCTTGGACATGAGTTTTATATCATGTTCTTTATAAAACACAGAAATGTGAAGAGAATGAAACATCAGCTGAGAGGAGCAGCAGCAGGAGCAGGAGGAGCAGCAGCAGGAGCAGGAGGATCCTGAATCACTCCGAGCAGCAGCTCGTGGTGATCCAGAGACATGAAGGTGAAGTGAGAGGCAGGAAACAGACGAAGCTCAAAGTTACAACAACTCACCTTCTGGAGGGAGAAACAGAAACAGCTCGACTCCTTCTCGACTCCTTCTCGACTCCTTATCGACTCCTCAGACCTTCCTCGATGCTTCAGGAGCTGTGGAGCTGAAATATCCTGAACAACCTGCAGCTCCAGCAGCAGTCGACGCTCCTTCCTCCCTCGACGAGTGGCCACTTTTTCCTTTTCCTCCCCCGGTGTGTGTGTGTGTGTGTGTGCGCGCGTGTTTGTGTGTGTTGGACTGGAGCAGCTCCCGGATCTCTCCTGTGTGTGTGTGTGTGTTTGTGTGCGTGCGTGCGTGTGTGTGCGTGCACAGAGCTCACTCACACTGCAGAGGCTGGAGAAGGGGCGTGCACTGCGCGCTGCGTGTGCACGTGAGCGCTCGGGCGCCACACTGACGTACACGCCCTGAGGAAACAACACACACACATCTTGAAACTTTAAGTGTTCGTGAGCGATTTTATTTTAATTATAATAATAATGTAAATATTTTAGAATATTTGATCGTTATCTTAAGATTGGGACAATCAGTTAATATAAATTATATATATAAATATAATATATATATGTACAAATACCATGATACATTTCACACTATTCATATTTGTAAGTTTAAAGACTAATTTTCTTGAAGAAATAAAAACGAAATGATCAACACATTCATTTAAAATAATAAATACATAAAACTATTCCGATATATTCTGGGTAAAACAAATTTATCTTTATTTGTACAAAAACACATTTTCACGTGCTCAGAAAAACTTTGGATATTTAACAACTTCTCGACCAATCACGATATCTGTATCATCAAATATCTAATAAAAACTTTTTAAAATGAATTAAAAAGACTGTAAACTCCCACAGCTCCATCAGCACTGCACCGACCCTGACTCCGAGATGTCGGTGTTACCTTGACTTCCTCTCTGGACTTTCAGAAGAAGTGGTGACACGTCGTCTTATCTTCCGTCCGTGTTCCAGGTCTATTGACACTCCACAGACACCTGATGTTAATGAATCAATACAAATAACATCTTCTCTAAATGTTAATCCACGTACCTTCACCTCACTGGAGTAACGGAGGCCTGACCCTTGAGCCTGAGGGCAGTTAGTTATTCATCATATTCATTTAGACCGAACGGGCAGTTTCTTCAACACCACACAAATCCCTGACCTCGTGTTACCTCCCCAGTGAGTTTCATGCAAAGAGACGACAGATGGAATCGGATGAGTTCTTGACAGAGATCAGGAGAGAAAATATTCAACTGGAACATTCATAATGGATTCTTATATTCCTACTAAATCACTACTGGGACTTAAACGTACACGTGGTCGTAGCAAATTGTTTTCCTTGTTCTTTGATAGATTGCACATCCTGTCAGGACCTGGTGTTTTCATGCTCTATCCATCAGATCAGACAACTTAAGTCCACATTTCCTCATTAGACCTGATTGAGTAAAGCTGCTTGAGACTCCCAGACTCATAAATAATGTAACATGCCATATTACTGCTGGGCTGCTCCACACTTTCACTGCAGCTCCAAAAAACTGGGCCCTGGACTAGTGATGGCTGCACCGACGTCTTTTCTTACACACACACACACACGTGTGCGTTCTTTTCTCTGTGTGGCTCAGGAATGAGGGAGGAAGCTGGAACTCAACAAATCCCCCGACACTTCCTCATGTTTTACTCGTGAGGAATTTTTAAACTGTGCAGCTTTTCTTCCTGGCCGTTGGCTGATTTACTCGTTTATGGATTTTAATATTTCATTTGGAATCACTTTCTCTTGCCGCGAGGAGATGGGTGGATAAACCCTTCCTATGGTTACACTGGTTTATTTCCTGACTCCACTGCAGCAGACGATGGAACATTCCCCAAAAGTCACAGAATGTGGAGTCGGTCTAACTCAAACCTCCTTGTCTCCTTGATTACTGACCACACGGAGACAATATCAGCAGGCGACCTCCAGTATATTACAGATCTTACCCCCATTTAACCCTGCTCGCACTTTGAGATCCTCTGGCCTGATGCATTTTTATTTGGGATGTACATTTGTTTTCGAATACAGATATTTATTCTGAATTTTTTTATCAGCAAGAAATCCCAAACATTTAAAACCAGATCCCAGCTGAGGAGGCAGCGTGAACTGCATTTTAGAAAAACCTCACCCCTTCACTCTCAGTCCCTGCACGTTATATTGAAATGAGTCCATTATGATCCATTAGTGCAGAGACTGAAGCTGTGCCTCGCTCGTCCTGCAGCCGGCCAGCACATCACTGTTCTCTGCGTACAAGGCTGATTCTCCGGTGCATCACTGGTAATGAAATTAAAAATGTTCCTATTCCAAATCCAGGCAGTGTGTCTGCTGGGTCTGGGTTCGCTCATCATCGTGTTTCTGTCCAGTGTTTGGTTTCAGGGCATGAAAGACCACGGGAAAACAAAACAGAGAGATCCGTTGTGTCAGACTGAAGGAGATTATCAGCATAAGAATAAAGCAGAGCATGTGTTTAATCTCACAATCACAGTGACAAATTCACAAAAACACATTTCCACCGCAGCATCATGAGAACACAGGAGCTAACAAGTGAAATGAAGTTTGTCAAGTGTGAACATCACCCCCTGCTGGGGATGCAAGAAAAATCCCCATAATGCACTGGAGGTGTGTTAGATACTGAAAAAAAGAAATTATATATGAATGCAAAGATAAATTCTATTTTGTGAGACAGGATTAATTAGACGCTGAATGAAATCCTCATCAACAAAGGCCTCCTCACTCTTAAGGACACTTATAAGCTGCTGTGGTTTCAACAGTCAAAATTTAAATTTATTCATTTGTGGGCACATTTTGTCGCATTGTGAAAAAAGTTAAAATTAAACAGTTAAAAAAAAGTCTCATCATTTCTTTCTCTTAGGGAGCGGTGTGAAATAATCAGCTACTTAGCAAGAAGTGAAACATGTGCACAATTATAAGGAATGTATATATATATATTATAAATGGAACGGCTCAAGTAGCCTCTGACTTGGTTTCCCCTCGTTCTTACCAAAGATGAAACGATGGTAATGCTCTCCTTCCTGATTCCTCACACACCCTGTTTGCTTTATCATATGAAATATTCTGACGGCTGCAGAAAAAAAAAAAAAAAAAAAAAGACACTGAGACATTTTTCACATGCTGAAATCTGCTTTTCCTCTAAATGGTGGATAAATTCAGAGCCGTGTAGATCAAATTAACTGTGGTGCAGAGGAACCCTATAAGGGCGCAGAGGCTGGACAACCCGTGGTAGCGGCCGAACGTGCTCCTGTGCGCTCTGTACTTGGGGTCCTGCTCTTTGAGTTTGGCGTACGCGTCTCTCTGGGCGCCCCGGCCTATCTCGTTCCCCAGGCCGTGCTCCGCCTCCACCTCCCTCATCTGGAACATGACCTCTGTGGCCGCAGGACCGAACCACTGGGCGTTCAGACCTGCCGTGACCAGCGCCACAAGGAACAGAACCATCTGCGGGACCACAAAGGATCAGGTAGGTTACCGCAAGGTGACGTGATGATGATTTAAATACAAAGCCCTTTTTCAGATATGAAACTCTGGAGCCTGTGACTCGGACATCTGTGTTCTCTCATGCAGCCCCTCTGGAGAATCCAAGGAGATGCTTTAGTCTGACATTCACTGTGTGTGTGTGTGTGTGCGTGTGTGTGTGTGCGTGTGTCATACGTGTGACGTTGTACCTGCACAGCTTCATGCCAGTCCAGCAGCTCTCTGGGGTGGTACACAGCGTACACAGCCAGGCTGACGAAGTTGCTCCCCAGCAGGCAGTAGAAGAACACGGGGAACAGTTTGCTCTGCACCAGGCCAAAGGTGTGCAGCGTCACCTGCCGCACCAACGTGAAGCCTGCAGCGGGAACATCGCGAGAGACGGGTCAGAAATGTGAAGTTGAAACGGGAACGCGCTCAGCGAGTCGTTGTCATCGTACCTGCGATGAAGGAGACCCACACCTGCATGCCCCAGGAGAAGGAGAGCACGAGGAGGTGCAGGACTTTGATCAGGTCCGATGGCTCCCCCTCTGTTGCCATGGTGTCACTCTGCACAGAGTTTATCAACATTAAATTCTCTACTTCCTTATGTGTCAAAATAATAGTTAGAAATAAGAAGCATGTGCTGACACCCCTTTTCAAAATAAAAGTCATTCAAGCGTTTCTGTTGACTTAATCCATTAATTTGCTTTTAAAGAGTT